TCCTGCCCCAGGGACTATACAGGGCAGGGAGGAAAAGCCCACTCTGTCCTGTGGGTTATGATGCTTTGCCTTATTTCCATCTATGACTGATCTAAAATTAGGGACTAAACAGCTACTAATGGGGGCGCAGTTTACTTTCCCTTTAATCCCAGTGACCAACCTCTGTCCCCGGCCCTGACACTCTCTCCCCCAGTGGATGCGACTCTGGATCCAGACACGGCTCAGCCCAACCTCAGATCAGAAAAGTGAGCGATGGGAGACACATGACAGGATCTGCCCGACAATCCTGAGAGATTTGACACATCCCCTGAAGTTCTGGGGGCTGAGGGATTCGTGGGTGGGCGGGAGGCGTCATGGGGAGGTGGAAGTGGGAGATGACACTGAATGAGAACTGGGACGTGGTAGGGAATCTATGAGGAGGAAGTGGAGGGATGAACTGCCCTATGAGAATGGAGACTAGTAAGGTTGATAAGTGGATATGAATACGAAGCTTTTCCCCTCTTCCCGTGAGCATCAGGCCCAGCCGGGTGGGAATTTTTCTGGACTCTGAGGCAGGTGAGGTCTCATTTTACAAAGTAATTGGCAGGTCCCATCTCCTTGCTTTTGTCTCCCCTTGCCCACTCACAGCTCAGGCTGAGGGATTCTTTGCCATAGGAAACTGGGGGTCTCCCTGGCCATTCTTATTTTGGTGCTTAGTTAGGGTTCAGCTTGAATCCCCTACACCTGAAAGCTCTGAACTCAGGGCCGGTGCAAGGAAGTTTTGCGACCTAGGCGAAACTTCCACCTTGCGCCCCCCGCCCTGAGGCGCTCCCCCCCCCGTGGCAGCTCCCCCCGCCGTGGCAGCTCCCCCGCCCGGGAGCCGTGCAGCAGATCCCAACCCCAGCTCACCTCTGCTCCGCCTCCTCCCCGAGCACGCCGCCCCCACTCTAATTCTCCTCCCCTCCCAGGCTTGCGGCGCCAAACAGCTGATTGGCGCCAAACAGCTGATTGGCGGCGCAAGCCTGGGAGGCGGGAGAAGTGGAACGGCAACCGCGCAGCAGCCCAGCCCAGGAATGCTATAAAAAAAATTGGGGGCACTGCTTTTTGGCGCCCCCAAATCTTGG